AGACCCGGAGTGTGATTTCTTGGCAGGCTTATAGTGTTATGTGGGGGAAATTATGGGAATTTGGTTTTATTTACTCCTTCATGGAAAAGCAGTGTGGTTTGCTGATTTTTACACCATACTTGGGGTTGGAGTTTTGCTTTTTTCTTCTGTTTTAATTCATTATGCTTGATTTTCTATTTTCCCACTCCCCATTAAAAAAATGCTTACTTAGATAACTTTGTGATGGGAAAGGAATGCTGAAAGGAATAATGCGCTCTCCATAAAGTGTACTGAGTGTCTGTAAACTCTTAATAAATATTATGATTTATAAAATAATTTTAAGTCTTTAAAAATTTACTTGAAAATATTTATGTAAACAATCTTTAGTTAATATTTAATCACAACGTTCTAATCATATGGTTCGCATGGCCTCTGGAGAGTGTGTTAACAGCAGCTAATACCTAAGTATATTCTGTACTTGAGATAGAATAGGATTTCTTGTGACTTACATATATAGTTAATATTCGTCTGTTTTTTGCTTCCTGTTAAACTGTGCTTTATGTTCTGTATTTCAGATATTAATAGAAGATCCTGTTACCACATGTCTTTCTCCCCCGGTGCATGATATGATCTGTAAACTTGGGTTTGAAGTCCAGGAAAATCGCGACATCAGCAGTATTGTAACTCAGGACGGTGAGGTGTGCTGGAAGACCATCACAGACTGTCTAACTTACACAGAATCAGGTTTGTGCCTTCTCTGCTGCCAAACATCCGTCAGTGCTGTTCCATTGAAAATGCTGTGGCCTGTAAAATTTCCCTTTCTGACCGTTGCTTTTTGGGTTAGAAGATGTTATAATACAAGCCTCACTCGAAAGAGAAAAGGAATCGGTGTGAAAAGGGAGGGAATGAGGCCACAGAGGCAGAGAAGAGTTAAAGGGAAGCTCGGCCCGACAGCCACGCAGGAGAAAGTGGGTAGCGGGGGGTAGCAAGGGGCTGAGGGTTGTGGACGATGGAGCTCTCAGCTCAAGGCCAGTAGTCCAGATGGGAAAGGAAAGAAAGCATATCATGTGAATTGAGGTATGAAATGACCAGTGATATGTGCAGTTATTTTAAGTGTCTTCCAGGCATTCTTGTACGTTGTTTGAAGCAGGGATGTGGGTTGGGAGATTAAATAATGGTTATATAACTTACAAGCGAAGGTGCTCTGGCTCTGTAATTCTGCCCCAGAGCATACGGGACAGGCACACTCTCGGGCGTGGACAGGTGTCTGTACACAGCTGCTCCTTGCAGTGCTTTGTAATAGAAAAAAAATAAAAGAAGAAACACTGGAACTAGCCAACTGTCGAGCAGTAGAAGTTAAGTAAATTATGAGGGGAGAGGGAAAAAAAAGGGCATGCAGTGGAATATTATGCATTGGTGAAAAAGAGTGAGGAGGCCCATCTTTCTGATCCAGAAATCTCTCTGAGCTATGTGGCTGAGTGAAAGAACAGAAGGAGCACATGTCTCTGTTATTTGTTTGTGTGTCTATAAATATTTCTGAATCCAGCCAAGGAATTTGTAGCAGCTGCTTCAGGAAGGAGAACGGTACGCAGGAGGGAGACTTGCACTGTTTTATAGTTTTGGTCTGAACCATGTGAAGTTTCAGCCAAACTTACCAAAAAAACAAGACCAAAAAAAATTCATATTAGAAATGTGTCTCAAGATAGTTAATGTCATTGGAAATCTCAGTCGAATAGTGTTACATTAAAAAAAATCAGGTTACAGGATTATATATATGGTATGAACCTGATTTTGTACAAATTGTACATATAAAGAAATTGAAAAAGTACGTTTTCTCTTATTGGAACTCTTCTGTATTTTCCAAACTCTATTGATAGTATGTTTTTCTTTTATAATCAGATAAACACTGTGTAACTTATTTCCAACAACCTCTGAACATCTGTATTGTAAGTTCAGTTATAAACTGGTTGTCAATTTTGTGGAGGTTTCATGATTAAAGCACTTTTTCTTTGATGATGTAGGCATTTTCCTCGCTGGATAGGGAGCTGTGGCGCTAACACTTGTTTTCTTATCCTTGAAGCCCGGGGTCTGGATCTCGGGGGCAGCGTGCGGCTGCTGGGCCCCGTGTGTGAGGCTGTCCACTTGCACTTCCTGTCTCTGAGCAAGGCGCAGTTTGAAGTTCGATACGCACCATGGTTCCAGTGGACGGGGGTTCCGGAGGTTTGGCTTTTGAACAACCTTTAGAAATAAAAGACTTTGCAGATTCCATGTAGAGGCCCTAATACTGATTTCAAAGGGGTGTCTTCCACCCTGCAGGCCCTCAACTGGGAGGAGGCTTGAGTGTTGCGAGGAAGGGTGGGGCTGCTGTGCAGAGTCCGCAAAGCCTGAGCTGAGAGACTTCCTTTGAGCAAAGGAAGTTTGAGGCAGTGTCAGGATTGGGGCTTAGGGAGGTAGTTGGTGCATGGGTGCTGGTCCTGGGACAGAGGAACATGGATGGCTCCGGAAAGAAGAGAAAGACCCTGCAGATGGATAGTAAGTTGTTCCTGAGACAGGGGACCTGGAGCCAGGAGGCGAGGATTCTTGGGTTTGCTGAGGGAGGTGGAAGTGGGGGGCAGCCTAGGGTCCCAGCCTACTTTCGGTTGATTTGATGGTTGGTTCAAATGAACCATTTCATTTGGCACATTGGATGCTTACAGTCGAGCAGTAGCTGTAAACAGTCAAACTCTGAGTTACTTGGGATTTCCTAATGCAGGGTGGTGGGACCTTCCCTTCTCCCTGTGTGTAGCTCTTTTAGGTGGCAGGGTGACCTACCTGATGTTTATCCAAGAACTAACCCGAATGGGAAAATAGATGTAAGTCGAAATACTTGACCTTTCAGTCTACAACTATGCCAGATTTATTGCTTTTAATAAACATTCAAAGGAGGAGAGAACTTCTGGAGGGTGGGTTTAGCTCAGTGGTAGAGCACGTGCTTAGCATGCATGAGGTCCTGGGTTCGATCCCCAGTACTGCCATTAAAAAAAAGAAAGGAAGGAAGAACTTTCAAAAAACTCCTTAGATAGTGAAACATTTTCCTTGTTTTCTTACATATTGTTATATTCTTACAAAAAAATGTGGTTTGAATTTCATTAGTAGTATTGTGACTTTGAGAAATAATACTTATTGAACACAAATTCTAACATACGTCTTACTCAAAACAGTTATTTCCTGAAATAATGGACACCTTGGAAAGTCTTGAGTCTCCTGCTGTGTCTCTGAGCTTGATGAAACTAACGTCGTGTCTGGAACGAGCCCTGGGTGATGTGAGTGTGAGAGCGCGCTCCTTGCTGGTCCAGTCAGGTGTCCAAATGAACGTTGAGTTCTTTACAGTTGCACTCCGATTTCCTTATCTTAATTATTATTTTTCTATAAAATACAATCACTTAGCACAGACTTTTCATGTTTTTCTCTTTGAATGATTATGAAATCAAAACACCAGTGTCTTTGGTGCTTCCCTCCCCTCATGTGTACAAACGCTGCTTTATGGGTGCTGTTTTCCTTAGCATCACTGGGCCCACCGTCATGCAATTGTTGCACAACTTTTGTTTGAACTGCAGGTATTTTTACTGATCGGGAAGGAGTGCCCCTTTCTTCTAAGGGACCTGCTTGCGTCTGAGGAGCTGGCCCGAGTCTTCGGGCCGCCTGTGGTAAGCTCGTTCACCTAAAGACAGCTGAGCAGGTGCAGCACAGAACAGGCGCATCTGCTCTACTTTTGGTCTCAGAAGTGGATGCTGCGTTAGGAAAACAATAATTACGTCAGCGATTAAGGCAGATCTTCCTCTCCCACCTCCCCTTTCCAGACAAAACCGCCGCTCCTCCAGCCAGAGACGCAGCTCTCATCCTGCGTGTCAGTGTGGCGTCATCCCCT